TGTATTTGTTTATTTAGCCAGCCAGAAACGTTTCTTTTGTTGGCCAGTGTATGCGCAAGTGATAGTTATTTAAATTTTAATTACTTGTGAGCCTAAAGTGAGTGTTTGAATCGTCCAATGAATACATTTAAATTGTGCATTCAAATGCGAAATTAAATTTGCTGCTCTCGTCAATGATTAAGTTTTTTATATGCCCATTTGTTGTTTTTTTTTTTTTTTTATTTTGTTTTTGTATTAATTTTATTTCATTTTTTAACACTGTTTGTCCTTGGCAATTAATTGTTTAATTTGGTTATTTATAAATTAATGATGTGTTTTTCATATGTCAATGCACATTTGCGTTCGGCTTAATTTTATTTGTTATTTTTTTTCTCGTGCTGCTTTAATTTCGTTTTTAAATTACAAATATCGTTAAACATTCATTTCAATTATGCAGATAAGCGCAAATGTAATGAAAGTTGAACAAGCGGATTAATGCGCAAAAGTTGCCAAAGCGAAAAAAAGGTGGCTTAAAGTCAATTTAATGAGTTATAAAATGTGCAAGTCTGTGACAGTTAGTGGCAATTTGATTGGACATCAACATGGCTCAAAAAGACTGCCGCATTAAGCCGCTCAGCTGCACAGTTTTTTGCTTTTAACTATTAATTATTTGATCTATTTTTTTAACACAAGCCATACATACGAATCGTGTAAAATAAATTAGGTATGTGCAATAATTTTAGGATGAGGTTTGACCATCTGATATAATTACAAGTAAAAAGGTTCAATAAAAATATTATAGTTATGATTTTCATGGGATGATCAAATATTGTATACAATTTCGGGATTTAAACAAGACGATGTCGTAAAACTGATGAAATCGAATTTATTTGTAGCAAATAAATACACATACTAATATACATAGATAACGTGCCAGCACGTTCAATAATTGGTTTTAATTGTTTTGAAAGCTTTGTTTTTGCAAAGTTGCTCATGATAAGACCCGAAAATAAGTTTATTATATATATATATATATATATATATCAATCTGAGTCATCATATATGCTATATATATATAAATATATATATATATATATATATATATATACATATATATACAACATTTAATGTTATATATATTTAATTCTTTAGCTGATGATTCAGATTGATAGCACATTCTATATATTTTGAAAGAGACTCGCCTTGCACAATTAATCTTTCTATATTTTGCTTATTTTATACATTCAGTTACATTTTTTTATTTTGTGACATAGACCTTCATAGACCCACGGGAATTCAGAATTCAGAATAAATAAATAATAAGTAAATAAGAAAAATTCCTGATAATAGTTGGACCAGAGAACACTGACGCTTTAGATTCTGAAAGTATAAATAGTGTTCTCTCTAAAGTGAATCTCATTTTTTTTGAAATGCTAAACTGTTACCTACCTGACTTTTCACCCTGTTTTAAATAACTTTCGTAAGGAGTTATTGAGCCAAAAGCCGATCTATCGTTTGGTTCCACTTTCTCCAGATTAGATTGAACTTGAGTTTCCAATTTAGCCACATTGCTTTTTAATACTTCCGTTGCCTCGCGTTCTGCATATGTGTCACAATTGTTCTTCCCATTTTTCTCGCCACATTTTATAAAGAACTCATTCTGCATCTCATACCAGTTACGCAGCAAAGCTTTACAAGTTTCAAAATCCTGTATATTAACCTTGCTACATTCGGGAGGAGCTCCAGAGATAATTGTCAAGAGAAGTGCAAACGCGATTAATTTCAGAATTGTGTTCATCGTTAGGCTGTTGTCTGGCGACTGCCCGTCTGTATGAAATCACAAATATATTTTGCAAACTCTCAGCGAAAAACACATTCACATTCGAAGGTGCTCTCCTCTAAAAAGATCGCAATCTAATTTTAATATATATACCGGCCGCAGCGTTCTCTCAGTAAATAAATACATGATTTTGTTTTTATTTTGTCTATTACACATGCAATATCATCAAAGCATAAAAATAAAAACCAGTGAACAAATTTTGCTGTCGGGCTTGAGGAGAAGTCGTGAGCGTGGAGAAGAAATTTGAAAAAACTGGAAACTTTTCTTTACGAAATCTCATTATCGACCGATGCTTCCTATGGATTTCCATGATACAGTTGTCTGAAGTTGATGAGATATGGCTCAGATAAAGGGAGCACAGTACATCTAATAAATGGAATAACAATGTTTTTTTATTTAGATGCAACAACGACCATTCATTTGGCAGCTACATGATTTTGTGGTCCGCTCCACCCAGTTCCGATATGGAGATAGACCAATGCAAAGTCTCAAGACGATAGCTTTAAAGACATAAGACAAGTTATCATTGGAAAACAAAAAAATGATATGTTCCACAAGCGTGAGCATAACATATATACAAACTCGTTTTTATTGATATTCTTGGCAAAGTTTGAAAGCTTTGCTTTTGCAAAAAATCACATGATAAGACCTAAAAAAAAAAAAATTATTACATATGTATATATATACAACATTTTATAGTATATATATTGCATTTTTCAGCTGATAATATAAATTGATAAATTTTGAAAAGATTCGCCTTGCTTTTAATTTGCACACACAATTCTCTTTCTTTTGCTTATTATATATATACATTCAGTTACATATTTTCATTTTGTGATATAGACCATCATAGGAACTAATAGGCTTCTAGCATTTAATTTTTTCATAAACTGATGTATTAAATAATTAGGAAGACACTCGTTTTATAATGGTTGGGCCAGAGAACATTGACGCTTTAGATTCTGAAAGTATAAATAGTGTTCTCTCTAAAGTTAATCTCATTCAGATGTTTCGTATATTTTTTGAAATGTTAAACTGTTACCTACCTTACTTTTTACCCTGTTTTAAATAACTTTCGTAAGGAGTTATAACACCCAAGGCTCCCCTATCAGTTGGTTCCACTTTCTTCACATCAGATTGAACTTGAGTTTCCAATTCCACTCTGCTTTTCAATACTTCCGTTGCCTTGCGTTCTGCATATGTTTCACATGTTTCATGATTGTTTTTCCCATTTTTCTCGAAACATTTTGTATAGAACTGATCCTTCATCTCGTACCAGTTACGGAGTACCAGTTTGTCACATTCGGGACGAGCTCCAGAGATAATTGTCAAGAGAAGTGCAAACGCGATTAATTTCAGAATAGTGTTCATCGTTGGGCTGTTGTCTGGCGACTGCCCGTCTGTACGAAATCACAAATATATATTGCGAACACTGAACGAATAAGACAATCTGAATCGAAGGTGCTCTCTTTTAAAAAGATCGGAATCTAATTGTAATATATGCCGGTCGCAGCGTTCTCTTGGTAAAAGTATATAAAAAGCGTCTTAATACTAGCTATTTTATTTTTCTGTTTACTTTTATTATCTCTTCCGGCTTATTGCATGGGAATCATAATTAAAATATAAGATCAAAAGCGAGAGTAGAAAAAAATCTCGTTTGACGGATTATTCCCATATGATTTAATAGTCTGATTTTGATATTGATCTCGCTATGGCGCATATATCAGAAGCACACTTAACTAATAAATGGAAAAACAAAAATGTTTTTATACAAAAGCTCCACATGGTTTTGTTTTTATTATGTTTTCTAGTTTATTAGCCATGCAATATTATTAAAACAGAATAATAAAAACCATTGTAGAAATTTGAGTGCCGAGCTTGCAGATAAATGAGTAGAATAGTACTCGCAAGTCTTGAGCTTGAAGAAGATATCTTGAAAAACTGAAAACTTCTCCCTACGAAATCTCATAATTGACCGATTGTCCCAGTAGAGTTCCATGATACAGTTGTCTGAAGTTGATGAGATATGGCTCAGATATAGATATATATAGATATAGATATATAGAAATAAATGAAAAAACAATGTTTTTTTTTAGATGCAACAACGACCATTCATTTGGCAGCTACATGATTTTGTGGTCCGATCCACCCAGTTCCGATATGGAGATAGACCAATGCAAAGTCTCAAGACGATAGCTTTAAAGACATTTAGGAACTGACAGACGAACATGGCTATATAGGAACATACCCTAAAGAAATTATATCTTCCAAAAGCGTAAGCTTGACATATGTTATTTATTATTATCTAGGTGCATAAGTTGAGCTATGAAATCTTTCGACGTATATAATATTGATATTTTTGTGTGCTTCGATCGAATTTCGTTCAGCGGACACCTGACACTGCTTGGCTATTTGTTGCGATTGAAATGGCGATTACATTGGCTCGTCCTCTTATGATACATTGCCCAGTTTCTGGGCAAGAGGCGTGGGGGTGGGGGTAAGTTGAGGGTAAGTAATTACGTTTTACTTATTGCACTTCTTTTTCTTCTTACCTGCAAAATGATAAGGCAGAAGCGAGCAGCGGGCAGCGTGCAGCGTGCAGCAGAGCAAACAGCATGTGGCTCGCATGACGATAACGACCCGTGATAAGCAGGATGACGGGCAGACAGGGGGGGGTGCTGTGGTGCTGCTGGGGTTAAGGCAGCCCCTGCAGTGCAGCTCAGCTCAGCTCTTGGCCCATTGTTTGTTTTTACAGCTGTGATTGAGGTGAAATTGCATATTTCTGTGCGCTTCTTTCATTTCATTTCATTTTGCACAGCTCCAGACGGTGTGTGTGTACGAGTGTGTGTGTGCGAGTGTGTTCCCATAATAATAGCAAACGTTTTATTGAATGTCGTTACCGTTGCCCGTCTTCAGGCTGACTGCACTTGGCCGAGTTGCTCACTTGGCCCGCTGCTCAACCCCCACGTTTATTGTGCAAATACTCGTAAATGTCAGTTAGAGGAAAATGCTCGACAATGGATACCAATTTCCAGCTAGGCAAATTATTTGTTTAGTCTGGCAAATAAACATACAAGCCACCAACTAAAAGGAGCTTGTCCCACGTTACATATTGAATCGTTTTTCGGAGTTTGAGAAACTGTACCGGAATGGCAATAACTTGTGAGCAGGCTAGAGGATAGCTGTCAGACAAGAGCTGTTATGTGTAAATACTCGTATATTATTATCGAAGCAGTCAACAGACCGTAGCTTTCCGACTTTCGTATTATATTGCTTAGCTTCCGCCCCAGTTAAGTATCGATAGAGCGTGATTATCCTTTTAGCCAGGATGCACAACTTGATCAAGAGTCGCGCCGTTTTTGAGATATTGAAGAAGCCGCTGCCCGAGCTGCTGCGTTTCTACAGAGAAAACGAGAGCGAAAGCGAATGCGAGGAAACTGCCGGAGACACTGCAGATGCCGCAACTCCAACGCCAATTCCAACTGCAGCGGCAGCAGCAGAAGCAGCTGCTGAGGCAGCCAAGCTCAATGTGAACGCGAGCGTGTTTGTGCCGCGCTCCAAGGACGCCAGCGTCGAGGCCGAGGACGTGCGTCTTGGCGAACTGAAGCGCCACTTCGAGGCTTTGGATGTGCGCAAGCCGGCGCAGCCGAAGCTGATGCTGCCCTGGAAGGGCTTTCCCAAGCCGATACCCGCCGACCGACCCAGCAAAGCGCGTAAGTATTGCGAGTAGCAACTCCTCCTGCCCCCCAATCGCTTCCATTTCGCAACACATCTCCAGCTTCGGCCCAGAGCAAAGATCTGAGGGTTGCAGTCATTGGGGATGAGACAAAAAGCGAGTCGCGTCTGAAACGCGCTCAGCCGGACAAGGAGTCGTCCTCGCCGCCGGCCAGCCGCAAGAAGCCGGTCAAGGAGCGTTCGGTTATAAAGTCCGCTGTGCCGGACGAGAAGCGGCGCGAGCAGGAGCGCAAGGTGGCCCTGGAAGCGCTAAAGCTCGTCGAGCAGCGACGCATGCGAGAGACCTTGGATCAGCCACAGATCATAGTGCATCTGACACGTTCGCCCGTGGACTTTACGCCGGAGGAGCGCGTGCGCGTGAATCGGCTGCGCATCATCAAGCGCGAGCACATCGAGAGCGTGCTGCGCGAGATGCGCGACGAGCTAGAGCTGAAGCAGCAAAAGGCTGACGGCGTGCAGCCATCCAGTCGCTACATATGCCTGCAACGCGCCGCCAAGCCCGACACCCAGGCCACGCCCCAGCCGGAGCAGCAGCAGCAGCAGCTGCAGCAGCCGCCGCCGCCGCCGCCGGCTAGCTCGACACCCAAGCGTTATATACCAACCGTGAAGCAGTGGGACGAGCGCTGCAAGGCCAAGGCCAACGAGGCGGCGGCCGGCGCCAACAAGGAGAACAACAACATGGCCGGCGGCAGGACTCTGATCAAGCTCGAAGAGAACGCGCCATCGCAGCGCGGAGCCATGGGCCCCTTCAGCCAGGGCAACATCATGCACACAGCCACAGCCGTCGGGCAGAGCAAGCCGCAGCAGCAGCAGGGCGGCGCCAAGGATCGCGAGCTCTTTGTGCCGCGCTATTGGCCACCGGCTCCGCTGGTGGCCAGGGGCGAGAGGCGTCGCGGCAATCTGACCCACGCCCGCAATATAACGCGCGCCTTTGCTAATTGCGGCCTGCTGCCAACTCCGTCTCCGGCTTGGGAGGCGACCGCCAAGGAGGACTACGAGATGCCGGAGGGGGCGAAGAAATCTGTGAAACGCTACGGAATGGAGGAGCTGCTTCAACTGGAGCCACAACCACACGAACTGGAGAAGCCCCACATCGCTGAGGCTCTGCAAAAGCTCGGATTCATATGCGAATAATTGCAGCTGCTCAGCCAAAATAACTTTTGGCTCTGTCCGTGCATTTGTCCGTGTTTAGTTCTTTGTGTATTCAGTTAGTTTGTTCTTGTTCATGTTTTTTCTCCTTTCAACCAGTTGCATTTCCTGCTGTTCAACGTTGAGAGCTCTTTGTCTCGCCGAAATACGAGCTATACCATTTATATTGAGCAACTCTGGATTTGCAACTCAATTATTATTAATAATAAAGTCTATCTGCAGCAAACTAAAATTTCAAATGCCTTGACCGAATTGCAACTCATTATTGAGCTTAAAAAATTAAGCTGAAATGTTATAAACCAATCTGGTCGAAGGCCACAATTTCAGCGGGGAACTTTGAACCCAATTATCTGCTCTAAAAGCAGCCGAAACTGAACCAAACCATATTCTAATAAAAATGTTGGATCACAACTCTCTTTGATATGAATTCTTTAAAGCGAATATAAAAACAACATTCTTTTTTTTAATATTTAGCATAAATAAATTACCAAAAAACTCTTGGTAATTACTATGAGTTTTCCTCGAATAACATATATTTTTATAAAATATGCTTCTGAGGGATTCCTTTATCGCAAAGTCAAAAACTAGCTAATATTTCAAATGTCTTGGCAGAAATGTAACACATTTTTGAGCCCTGTATAAAATGTACAAAGCGTATAAATTATTAAACAAATTATAAATCAATCAGAAACGATATAAACAAATCTGGTTGAAAGCCGGAATATCAGTTTTTTTTACAACGAGGGGACTTTGAAAAAAATTATCTGCTCAAAACAGATGTCTGCAAAGCAAAAAGTTGATTAGTTCGAAAATATCTGATATAAATATCAATTAAAGATAAAAACTATATCCTTTTTTCAATATATAACATACCAAAATTATAAGAAAATTAATTAAGAATAATCGAAAAACCATTTTTTTTTTTACTCTGAGATTTTCTCAGCAATATATTTACTATATCTAACAAAATCTAAATAAATTTTGCGTCCGCGGATTCCTTTAATGTAAAGGCAACTGTGCAGCTGTCTAATCGCAAAGTCAAAATATTCGGTAAAATTTCAAAAATCGTGTCAGAAATGCAACTCACATTTGAGCCTCTTTTAATGTATGTAGATCGAAGAAAATTATAAATCTAGCAGAAACGATGCAAACAAATCTAATTGAAGGCAAACTTTGAACCAAATTATCTGCTCAAAAAGCTGCCGAACCTAAGCCAAAGCATTTATTTTCTTTGCAATATAGATATTTCATATAATAATGACTATAATAAATTATGGGCCAGCCATCTGTCTAATCGCAAAGTCTCAAAACTCGCTTCGGGCTGAAGCGTCACTCACTTGTCGCTACCAACAGGATGTGTGCATTTGCTGGTATTTTCTTTAAAAAGGTTTCATTAAATTGATGTCGACCCGTTGATGCATCTGAGCTACTCAGCAGCCAGCTGACGGAAGCGGAAATGGCAGCGGGTGGCGAGGGGTCGCGTGGCGGCAAGGGTTCGCTACAGTGAAGCCATAACTTAAAAGGCGCCCGGCAGTGCATCCTCGTGGATGGCCAACAATTAACAGCATAAATTTAAATATGCAATTAACGAAACAGCTTGAGGCTGCAAAAGAAAAATCAAATAAAAGGCAACAGCAGCAGCTACTACAACGGACGTAACTATGAGTAAAGAATGCTCGACCAGAAGATACCCATTAACATACTGCATTAATTTAAATAAATTTCAATATGCAATTAACGAAACAGCTTGAGGCTGCAAAAGAAAAATCAAATAAAAGGCAACAGCAGCAGCTACTGCAACGGACGCAACTACGACCACTTTGAGTGAAGTAAGCTCGACAACCAGATACCCATTAAATATTCACTAATTCAATTTGTGAACAAGTGGAAATAGGTAAATGGGTTCGATTAAGCTCCACAGCTCCACATTGTCAAGCGACATGTTTTTCGTTCTGTTACAAAGTGTTGCTTGTTTTGCATATACCCTCCATTGTTGTCTTGTCTATAGGGCATACAAATGTTTGCACTGGCTGTAGCAGTGGCGACAATGAAAGCCAAAGGTCATTTTAACACATGCACAACCACACACACGCACACACACGCAGAGTAATGTATTTGATTGTTTGTGTTTTCGATTTTTTAAAAAACGCACAACAAACAACGTTGGAAAAAAAAAACACACACACACACAATTTTACGCTTTATTTACGCGATGGCCAGCAACAATACTCTGGTCATGTGATACGCTGGCCAGCCCCACTAGCAACACCCACCAGCAACATGCAACACCAACACCCAACACCCAACACCAGCAACAACTGTAGCACATGTCAATATTTTAACGCTCAGCCACAGGGGAAGCCTGGCTGCTGCCACATTCACTCTCGTGCCGCTCGCCTTTCGTTTGTGGCAATTGGAGTCGTGGCGTTATTGATGTGTAAAGTGGACGCCGTTGTTTAATAAAATTAAAACACAAATTTAATATCGCCTCCTGCTGGGCCCTGATTTCGCGCGTTAATAACAGCAACAACAACAGCAGCAACAGCGGCGACAATAATGGTGAAAATAAAAAATAATATTAATATGGCCAAGCAATGCATGCGAAATTGTTGACAGGCAGCCGTCTGTCTGCCCAGTCCTGGCTGCAAATTATGTTTTACCGCCATGAAGTCAAAGTGCAACTGTCAACTGGCTCATTATCAGTGGGTAGTTAAGCCGCACAGTTAGTTAATGTGGCCTCGAATACGCTTCTTGGGTTTTACGACCAGCAGCTGGCAGCCGCAAAGACTCAAAGCAAACGATCAACTTTTCATCGTGCCGCTTCCCCGCCTGGAACTGCTTTGGCTGGCTCCTGAAGCTTGCACGCTTCCTTTCTATAATCATAACATGGCAATTTTATTCAATTTCCTGCCTTTTGTGTGTGCCACAGCCAGCTGAGACTCAGACCGCGAGGTAAATGAATGAACGCGGGCAGCTGGGCATTTTCGATTTAAAGATGCCCTATAAAAGAACTAACCAGAAATTGAAAAAAAGAAAAATTAAAAATTAAAATTAAAACTAAGCATGGGTATAGAGCACAAAGCTTGGAGTTCGCATACCTGAGAAAATGGAAGATAAAATATTTTGTACACCCAAACGTTATCTAGGCGATTAGTCTGTCATTTTGAGACTATAATTTGAATTTTTTAAAGTGTTTATATCTCTTTGAACTGGTCTAGATTTTCTCGTATTTTGCTTATTAAGCGTCGAGTCTGATTTTTAGCACTTTGTGGATAACTCGGCTAGCTCATTTAAATTTTACAGGGCACCTGAAACTAGCTTTAAACGCTTCATAAGTCAAAGGCCATTAAATAAGCTACGTCGAAAGTGCCATAAGTTTTATTCTCTTAGAGCGCTGCCAACATTTCAAATTATCAGGAAAAAACTGAAAATAAAATGAGTTGAGCAAAACTATGTGGACCACTTTGTGGCAGACGTGGTTTCAAAGAGCAGCCAACACAGTCCACAGCCAGCACAAAGCGGCTTAAACATTGGCGCTTGGTCCAGCTTGTGGTCCAGGTAAAGGTGGAAAACCAGGTGCACAGCAAGCACAATGTGCTGTAAGCTGATTAACGGCTAGCCGCAAGACTTGTACACGGGCTGCTCAGAAAGATAGTTCAATTGGCCAAACACTTTGTAGCCCTAATTAAGCCACTTAACAATTTTTGCGGCCTTGTCGAGCCAGCAAAATCAACACGGCGTATGCGCAATAAATATTGCACATACAGCCAAAGAAAGCTCGCTCTTCAAACTGGCCCAAAGTTTCAGCCCTGCATTTGGCATTCCTTTTTCGGCGTACAGTCTCTACGTGCGCATTACGCCAGAACTTGCCGGCAACTGGCACTTAAATTCATCCCAGCGAAACTCTGAAAACGACGTGACTTTTCCTCCCATCACAAAAAACCACCTTGAATGGGCTTCATTTTAGTTGCCCTTTGATACAACGCGCTGCGATTGCACTCAGCGCAGAGGTAGTGCATCACGAATACGCCCCGGCAGCTTGGCAGCAAAAACTGACTGCAATGACAATTCGCCTACGAAATTAGGATATAATGCAAACGTGTTAATAAAGTGGGCTTTCAGTGCTTATACAGAAATAATTTCGTCTGGAATGTAAACTGGCTCTGTTTGATTACAAATTTAAATGATTTTGCATCCGTTTTGAACCCAGTTGGTTAGATTCCGGAATTCAAATATGTATTAATTAACAACAGCCTAACCTTAAACAAGATTAGCTGGAAAGGAACAACTGTATTTAAAACTAAATCGAAACATATTTTTACAATAAGTGTATAATTAAATTCGTACGGAAGCCCACTATCAATAGGCATTCAAGCAAATTTAAAATCGCTGGGTTAAAAAAGTTGTTGACAAAAAAACGATTCGTTTGTAAAGTCGAACTTTTTTGATGATTTTTTTGAATATCTCGGCCAAATAACATTTCAAAATTGGACAGCATTTACCCGAGATATTCAATAAAAATCATCAAAAAAGTTTCGATTTTCGATCCGACCCCGAATTTGAGGAAAAACGTGATGTAACCCCTTGCCATTTTGTTGATTTTGGCCGAGATATTCAAAAAAATCATCAAAAAAGGTTGACTTTACAAACGAATCGGTTTTTGGTCAACCACTTTTTTTAACCCATCGATTTTTAAAATGTTTGAATGCAGATTGATGGTAGGGATCCCTATGAATTTAAAAAGGTATAACATTTCAAAATCGGACAGCATTTACCCGAGATACTCAATAAAAATCATCAAAAAAGTTTCGATTTTCGATCCGACCCCGAATTTGAGAAAAAACGTGATGTAACCCCTTGCCATTTTGTTGATTTTGGTCAAAATTTAGATAATTTTTTTGTTGATGTCAATCGATAGTACTGATCCTTACGAGTCCAAAATGGTATAAAATTCCCAAATCGAACACTATTTGGCCGAGATATTCAAAAAATTCATCATAAAAGGTTGACTTTACAAACGAATCTGTTTTTGGTCAACCACTTTTTTTAACCCATCGATTTTTAAAATGTTTGAATGCAGATTGATGGTAGGGATCCCTATGAATTTAAAAAGGTATAACATTTCAAAATCGGACAGCATTTACCCGAGATACTCAATAAAAATCATCAAAAAGTTTCGTTTTCGAACCGACCCCGAATTTGAGAAAAAACGTGATGTAACCCCTTGCCATT